TCAGGAGATGAGTAATAATGTGTTGGAGAAGAATATCTACCATTTTGAGGTAGAGATCCATTAGTTGAAGTTACGTTCGATACTGGAATTTTAGGTGAATATATGATAGATTTCTTTTCAATACTGGATGCCTTAAAAAAAATCAATTAATTAACCCACAAGATTTAAAAGATATATGTATAACGAATATTTACTATATAACATACCAGAGCACCAAACTCCGTTAGAATATTGCTGGCAAAATCAGAAATCATGGTGCTCATATAAAATCCTATTTCTCCAACATTAGGAATCATTATCAGTCCTTTGGTATCATCAGGTTGATTTTCTGCAGGGTCGAATGCAAAACATCGGTAGGCAACAGATGATGAATACTTCCCGAGATATAGTTAAAAATTAAGGCACATGTTAAAATCTTAAGATCATCTTCAATTTAAAACTAAAGCTTTCCCACTTACATTCTTGTAAATCTCCGTAAATTTTTTAAATCCATCGTTCAAATTTGTCCATTCACAGCAATCCATAATGCCAATAACCTATTTTTATGATTGATCATAATATCTTTAAAACTGAGCCAAGTAAAATTAAGACCACAAACAAAATTTTAATCCTCAGAAACGGGAGAAAATCGATAACTCAATTAACATACCCCAAAAATTCTACGGTGCATTTGAAATTCCTCAAGATAAGAATGTTCTGGTTCGTAAGAAGTTACAAAATTTAAATGTAACTGGCCTTCATTAAATATCTGTGAGCTGAACATAGCTGTGGTTTATTTTTGTTGTATATGATCGATTAAAAAGAACGGAAATAGGGAATTATTTTGGGCATAAGTAATGAATGCATTATTATTATTATTATTATTTAATTATTGATTCTGGCCATCGTTTCTTAGCTGGTTCAAAAGATTTTGTTGAACAATACGTAGAAATAGTATTAAGTAAATCCTCCCAATCTTTAGATCGCTGAAAATTAAATACATTTTGAACAATTAAATCCTATACTCAGTACCAAGATAGAAAGAAAAGTACCACAAATCGTTGCATCTTAAATTTTTTCTCGAGTTATTCCTTGGAAGCTATTGGTTTTACCAATCAAAAGGCCAGCAGTGAAAGAGAGAACAGTTGTACCTACATTGACCACCACGCTCTGGGGGGACGTCTCCCAGCTTGACGATCGTGTAATTTTTAACTAATTCAACCTTCTGATGAAACGTCGCAGCCTTAATCGGATGAACTGGGACAAGAAGGATACGTATTCGTGCGGGTGCTGTGAAAATTAGAGGATCCATTTCTTAAACTTTATAATTTTCAAGAGAGAAAAAAATTTATACTAACACCACATGCGAAATATTATGCACGGACATCACTTGTGATTGGATGATTCCTATTGCATACTACATATTATTAACGTAACGATAATATTTTTTGAAATTCAATTCTCAAAAAATTTATCAAAATGGATGATTCTGAAACAAACGGCCTTGCGCGACCGGTAATGGCAGTTTTGACATTATGATCGTAGGGAAGGTTCACTAAAAACGAACTTCGAATTTGACTTATAGCAAATATCCACAACGCCAACTGCTACCGAATCTGTTCCTACGCCTATACCCCCCGGCGGTTCCTCCTCGTACATTCCAAACATATGTGCCACCAAAGCCCGTGGTGAGAACACCTTTGTGGAAAAAACTTGCATTTGTTTTGCTTATAACTGGCACTTTTAGTGCATTAATGATTACAGCAATCAAGGTAACTGCCATCCAACGTTCGACATTGCACGTGTCCATAATTGTTTAATTACTAGTTTTTTTTTTATTTAGAAATTTCTTGGTCCAATGGTTACCTCGATTATCTTTGCCAGGCAACAGCTCT